CCTCCAAATGGCATATAAGATGTAGAGTTAAATTATTTGTGGGAAGAATAAAATATTTAGTTGACTATTCACACTAATTTTACCATATTTCTGCCAGCGCTCTCGCATCTGGCATTTTTTTGCAAACAAAAAAGCACTACTTGGAATGAAGATCGATTAACTACCCACTATCGTAGGAAATAGCAAGAAACTGGCATCAGTACTTTACAAAATACACAAATATTTTGATCCCTCTGTTTTTAACAGGTCGAGCACTCAAACGGCACCCGCGAACACAGTGATGCGCATCGGCAAGAGCTTCACAAATTGCGTCAAGATCGCGCTTGTTTCCAGGGTAAAATTGAAGAACACCCGCCCCACCCCCATCCGCCAACACCCGAACACATTCTCGAGCGAATAAACTGGTTACTTCAAGATCCTCATCTGCCGTTACCCATTGGGCGAACGAAATGGTGACGATATAGTTTACTGACGAATCACGAAGCGGCAGCCTTGAACCTACCAATGAGCATTGCGCAAAGTCGATGCCCGGGATAGGACGCACGGATTGATCTAAACCGAGTTTGAAGGGAACATCTTTCGTTAAACTGTGACCTCCGAAGGGAAAGTGGGCTCCACATCCTACATCAAGGAGCAACGATGAAGTAGCAGAACTGACACCTAGACATGTTACGAGGGCGAATTCGTAGAGCGCTTGCTGGTGGCTGAGGTTGCACCTCACATCGAGACTGTGACGAGTGGCATCTGTTGGATAACTATATTCAGCACGACGAACTGTAGACTTCTTGTTCAGACTAGGAATATCGAAGTTTGATACAAGTCTAACACTGTACGGTGAGGGATAGAGATTCGGTGGCGGAGTTAAGCCTCGTTTAGGCGTCAATGGAGCAACCAAGATAGTTTTTGGGGCGGGAGAGGGTTGTGAAGACTCCCAACGTACTACTGGATAAGAAGCCAGAAATTTACTCCAACTTCTGCACACCTAAAACGAAATTCAAAACAAGGACGACTTCAATGTCATATTGAATATATAATCTACGTGACATATCTTTTCATAATGTTTACTTAATTTTTTAAGTAGAAGCGCTTACACAGCGACACCGTGCCAACAGAAATCTGATATTTTAGGAATGTTTACTAAGATCTCATGCAACGAAGCAAGTCCTTAGAGGAGGCAAAACCATCTATGAGTGCCGTTTTACCAGAGTGTCCACATTGTGTCCCATCTAATCAAGTTTTGCTTAGCATGATAATAACAACCCTATCAGAGGAAATTAAGCGCCATCACCTAGTAAACTCATTGGACTTGCTCTACGCAAGAAGTGCTAAGAGATGATAAATAGTTGTGAAGTCCATATCTATAAATGTTT